TTGTGTGTGTGTGTGTGTGTGTGTGTGTGCTTGCCATGTAATACTTTGCCTTGCTGTGTCTCTTTTCTTTGTTTGGTCTTTCTTGTAGGCCAGTTTGGTCTCTTCAGTATTCAATAAGCCTTCATGGTGTACTAGCTTCAGTGCATCTTCTTCACTGTCCTTCATATATTCTTCCAATGCCCTTTTTTCTTCTTAAACTGTCTGATGTACTTGTACATTCCATGCCCACCTATGTCTACTATACAGGCTTTTTTGTCTTTCTTATCAACAATTGTTAAATCTGGAGCGTATTATTATTATGGTTGGTCACATAGTCAGCCAGATGTTTAGACTGGGTTTGGCATTTTTATCCACCTATCAAATCCTTCCCAAGAACCTGGGTTAGGCAGATGTTGTCTGATGGTATTAAAGGTATCGTTGTAGGATATAAGCTGTATTTTTTTTATTATTACTACTACTACTACTGTTATTATTTTCTAGGGGCCTGGAGGACTATGATGGCAATAATGAGTGACAGGATTGATATTATTGGTGTTTTTAAAAATGTTGCGAGGGGTGGGTACACGTTTTGGCTTGATTTAGTTAATTTGGTTTGATTTTTAAGCCAAAAAAAAAAAGTATTTTAAACCTCTCAGAGGCTTAATTTATCAATCCTGGAACTTTATTTGTGAAAAGAGATATTCTTTTCATTTTCAAAGGGCCTCCCTTTTTTCATCAAATAGAATGCATTTTCCATTAAACTTTCACAGTGTAATACAGCCTTGGGACACTCAAAAACTGCATGCAGGCCACAAGTGTTTACCTCATCCATAAGATCCAGCCCTCCTACCTTCAGTTATAGTTTATGGGGGGGGGGACTCTTTTCAGATTGATACACGTTTGCCTTTATCTTGCTAAATAGTCAGTTTGAGTGGCTCATATGTATGTTTACCCTGATGACTACTTCAGCCATGGAGTATGATGGCTGAAAGTGGCAGAAACCAAAATTGCTTGTTCTTTGTGAAGATAATAGTAATACCAACACATATAGCACATAGTGTGCAACATAAGAAAGTGTATACATTTGTATATTGCCTAAAGTTTCAGTCATTTAATCAAAAATCAGTTTGTCTCAAGGGAATAATTAATGATAGAGGTTAAAAATCCTTATCTCCAGAATCTAGTGATGAAGTAGGTTCTAAATATGAAAATAAATTTCAGAATAAAAACAAAATAAAAAACATTACAGAATGTTGGATAATAAGAACCTGTTTCCTTGATTTGTGGGGTTGTTGATAGTAATGTGCGAAACGTTTTGAATTCTAACGTTTTGAAATTGAAACATCTATTCCACCACTGCTGGAACAACTGAATTTGAACTTAGAGCCTGGCATTTTGAGCCTGAAACACTTCATTTGGAAAATATTGTTAGCACAGCATAAGTGGTAAACCTTAATCTTGGATAATCATAATTAAATAGAAAACGAATTCATATGAGAATCAGCTATGAATTGGAGCTTATCTGATAATATTCTACCATTTTCCATGTGTATATGCACACAGACAGATACCACATACACAAATCTTATACAGGTAGTCCTTAGCTTACGACCGTTCATTTAGCGACTGCTTGAAGTTATGACAGTGCTGAAAAAAATGTTTTACAACTGTCCCCGCAGTCACGTGATTAGAATTCAGATGCTTGGCAACCAGCATGTATTTACAATGATTGCAGTGTCCTAGGGTAACATGATCACCATTTGCAACCTTCCCAGGGAGCTTCCAACAAGCTAAGTCAATGGGGAGAGCTGGATTTGTTTATCGACCGTGGCAAAAATGGTCATAAAATTAGGCATAACTCACTTAATAACAGTCTCACTTAGCGACAGAAGTTCAGGTCCCAATTGTGGTTGTAAGTCAAGGGCAACCTGTATTAAATAAAAAGTCAGTAAAAAAAGGAGACTAATTAAGCAGTGTTGGTTTGTTTTGTACATAAAACAGATGCTTAATAAAATTAAAAATACAGCTGAGGTTCTCTTCTGGGCTACCTAAATTGCCAGTAGTATGTTCCTATTCAGAATTAATGTTTTTCATATGCATTTCCTGTAGTTAGTAACAAAGACAATTGCGATTTTGTGGTATCTGCTCTATAAAATTTCTTATTTAACCCTATGGCCATGTGAGTGTATTTGTATGTGTTTTTTGATTCTATAGGGCTTGCTCTCAGAAATCCTGCGAAAGGAAGAAGACCCCAAGACTGCTTCACAATCTTTACTAGTAAACCTTCGGGCAATGCAGAATTTCTTGCAGCTGCCAGAAGCAGAAAGAGATCGAATATACCAGGATGAAAGAGAAAGAAGCTTGAATGCAGCTTCTGCTATGGGCCCCACACCTCTTATAAGCACACCACCCAGCCGACCTTCACAAGTAAACAATTTTCTACATTTTTTATATATATATATATATATATTTGTTGCTAGGTTATTGGTAATGTGTAAACAAAGAAAGGCAAGCTGCAGAATATTCTTCACAGATAATGTAATAAGGGCAGGAATTCTAATTCATTAATTTAAAAATATCAGAACTGCAGTCTGTGTAAGAACATAGTTTGACTAGAGTGACCTTTTAAAAAAACAAAACAAAGCTGGAGCCGACATTCTAAAGAAATTGTCAACTGAATTGAACAATTTAACTCACACCTATTTCAACATTTTAAATATTCATTTTAGTGAATATTGATGCTGCTGTGCTAGTTTATGTGCAATGATTGTGTACCATGTGCCCGAGAATTGGCAACATTTATGTTTGGCTTAAGCATTAAATGCCTTAAAGTTTCTTAATGAACTCAGTTACATGTGAACAAGAGATTAAAGTTTGACAGCACAGTCTACAGTGAATAAATTATATTTTCAATCAAAATGTGCTAGTAATTGATATATCTTCTAATACCTGGAAATCATCCAATTCTTACCATAATTATTAAATCTAATTTCTTCAGTATTTTTCTAGAAATCTGGCCAAAAATATATACTGTATTAACTTCTTCTTTTTACCAAGATAAAACTGACCTTTAAATTCCAGAGATAAAATAATTTTAGAGGCCATCTTACTATGTCTTTAGCTTTTGACTGATTGTTTAAACTTTTGAAATCAAAATATGTAATTGTACTTTGTATGAAAAAATATAAATTATTGTCTTTCTACCATGCCTTCTTTTAATGATATATTTGGAATAGCAAAATATAAAATAGAGCTTTCCATTCTTGAGAAAAACACCATGGAGAGGGCAGTTAATGGAAATACTAGCTTGTAAATATAACTGTGCTTCTAGGCGCCACTGTAATAATGGAATAGTAAACTTTGTCCCGATAAAAAGCTATTTGGAAAGCATGTGCATTTATTGTAACTCTTGTGCCATTTGCAGAACAGGCTTGAAAAGTAGTTTGTTTTCCCTAGTATGAGCTACTTCATGAATTTAAATGTACAGTATAAAAAGTACAGTATTAAAAGCTAAATGAGGATTTAAAAATACTTTTGTTCCTAAACTAAAACAGTACTTAAAAGAATGTATTTATAAAGAGAGTGTGTGCATCTCTGTGTGTGTGTGTATGTGTACATACCTGGGAAAATATGAACTTTCATGTTTATTAATATGTACTCATTTAATTGTTTCAGCCTTCATCTATTTTGACTTTGTTCAGAAAATACGAATGACTGCAAATTTTTGTATTTTTATAATGAATCAAAATGTGGTGTGCTAGATTTGCTAGAATCTAAATATATTTAAATTATTCTTCCTTCGATGGCCTAAAAGCTTAGAACAAGTTTATACAAATGTTAGCAAAGTTTTTTCTTCATTACAATTCATACAGCAAATTGTGTTATATTACAAATAACTGAAGTCAGTGTGTTGCATATTTAAATGTAACATTTTAGTATTTGTAAGTCTTTGTTTTGAATTCTGTGTAATGTCTTGTGTATCAGTAGGGCTATATGAAAACCGGCTGTATATGCACCAGTTTAAATGTGAAGGTTTTAATTTTATCATTATTTCTTTACATAGCATTGTCTTCATTTCTAACTCTTAACACTCCTTTTAGGAATCTTAATTTTATAACCTCACTTTTTGAGGAGGACTAGATTTATAAAGTATCATACACTAAATTATGGCTGATGCTTTCAGTAGAAATTATGGAGGAAAAACATAGCCTCTAAAAGGTTAATTAGCAGTATATAATATAGTGTTCACTAGAGCACAGCAGACTAATCATCCATGCTATTCTTAATGGTTCAGGAGAAACTGTAGGAAAGAAGGGAAATATATTCGGGTTACTTGGTTAAGCAAGAGTTTGGAGGAAAAAAGCATTATGAAGCAACCTATATACCAGGTTCATCAACACATGTCAACAGCCTCCTAATGTTTTATTAAAACTAATACAGTTCAATCTGTTCTCATCTAAAGAGATGTATGAATCTTTATCCACTAATATTCTTATAATCAATGCAGTGTTCTCCATTATAATCAGTCAAAGGCTTTCCTAAAAATAAATATAGGTGATCAAGATAGGTATGTATGTAAATAAATAGACAATTTGTGTGCATATATGTATATGTGTACTTTAATGTTTGTCTTTATAAGTGCATATGTACATATGTATACATGACTGTCTAGTAAAATACTGTCTAGGCAGTAAAATACCAGTAATGGTGGTAGTTAGGTGTTTATTAGGCATGTGCATGGTTGAAAAGTTAATTAGAAGCAGAACTTTGACCTGGTGTCAGTGCAACATCTCTCTGCTTTTAATTAAAGCAGCCCAGTGTTTGCAGCCATTCACATAATCCCCCAAAAAACAGTGATGCTACTTTAAGGAGTTGGCTCATTAAAGTTTAATGTAGCAGCATCTTTTTCTCAAGCTTGAACCAAAGGAAAAAGTTGAACTTCTTTAATAGATGTCAGAGTAGGACTATGTTCATATCCACATGTACATAAATGTCTTTTTTTATGGTTTGTCAGATATAACCCATGTAATTTGAGCACATTTCAAAAATATATTCTTCAATCTTGCAAACAACAAAAAATGCCTTTGGTGACTCAAAATAGTCTAGCACATGTCCCTGCAATGCTGCCGTTGCATTTTTTCCAATCAATATCACATATAGAACGAAACCACTACAGCAATAATTTAGGGCAACGTGCAGTATGAAAGATGATGGGGTTTTTTACATTGTTTCTTAAGACACTGAAACACTAAAATGTGTTCCAGATTATGTCAGACTAGAAAGTTTGAAAAAAAACATGAATCTATGACAAATGTTGAATAAAGAATAAAATATTAGATAGGGAACTGTAATATTGACATTCTTAGCCCCCCACCTCCCAAAATTGTGCTGTAACTATTTAGATCATTGTTTCTTAAGACACTGAAACACTAAAATGTGTTCCAGATTATGTCAGACTAGAAAGTTTGAAAAAAAACATGAATCTATGACAAATGTTGAATAAAGAATAAAATATTAGATAGGGAACTGTAATATTGACATTCTTAGCCCCCCACCTCCCAAAATTGTGCTGTAACTATTTAGATCATTGTTTCTTAAGACACTGAAACACTAAAATGTGTTCCAGATTATGTCAGACTAGAAAGTTTGAAAAAAACCATGAACCTATGACAAATTAAATATTGAATAAAGAATAAAATATTAGATAGGGAACTGTAATATTGACATTCTTAGCCCCCCACCTCCCAAAATTGTGCTGTAACTATTTAGATCATTGTTTCTTAAGACACTGAAACACTAAAATGTGTTCCAGATTATGTCAGACTAGAAAGTTTGAAAAAAACCATGAACCTATGACAAATTAAATATTGAATAAAGAATAAAATATCAGATAGGGAACTGTAATATTGACATTCTTAGCCTCCCACCTCCCAAAATTGTGCTGTAACTATTTAGATGTTCCATGATAAATTACAAAGTGAACAACATTGGAACAGTATGCCTCACTTTCTGTTAGAAAAAAAATGTTTTTTAAAAATATTTCCAATAATACATTATTTTTTTTAAAAATCTCTTATGGTCTGGGCTCATACTGCCTTGGTTACCTAGGAAGATGCAGTCATAACTGAAAAGTCTTAACTTCTATTGCCAGCTGTTTCACCATGAAAGTTAAAGTTAAGGAAATTAAGAACTTTGGCAGCTAACCTCAAATGTATGAAAGGGTATGAAAAATACAGTTGTAACAACCTGAGGACCAAACTAGATATTTCATAGTTTGCCTTTCCATACTTAATAACTATAGTAATAATACATTTTACTATTCTAACCATACAGTAACACATCGGTACAAATACACAGTGATTAAGTGCTTCATACCAGAATAGAAGACAAAAAACCAAAAATAATAAATTCAAATTCATTCCCTCTGTTTTGGAAAAAAATCCATGTCCTCTAATTTTGAGTTCTTTAAAAAAATCTATAGGAAGTAAAAGAAAGTAGATTAAAATATGTGATCCTTGCCAGTTTGGTGTAATGGTTATTGTTAAGGGGCTGGACTAGAAACCAGGAGTTGTAATTCTCCCTTAGGTATGCAAGCTGACTTTGGGCTAATCACTCATTGTCAGTCCAACTCACCTCACAAGATTGTTGTGAGGACAATGGTGATGGGAACATTATTCATTCCACCTGGAGTTGTACAAAAGAAAGGATATAAATCTAATAATAAATAATGAATAAATAACTGATTGTATTTAATATATAGACTGTATTGAGGGTATGAATTGGATTATAATAATGGTCTGTTGGGGAGAGGTTATCTTTAACCATACACCTTATCAGAAATACTCCCTGAGAATCACTGTCATATCTCCTCAAAGTTAGACATACAGTGGATGCTTAATAGTTTGTGACTCCTTTTCAACTTTCAATATTTCTGTATAAATATGACCTAAAACATGATCTGTTCTCCACACAAGTCCTAAAACTAGATAAAGAGAACCCAGTTAAAAAAATGAGTCAAAAACGTGTTCATTTATTTATTAAGGAAAATGATCCAACGCTACATATTTGTATGTTCCAAAAGTATGTAAACTCTTGCTTTCAGTAACCGGTGTGCCCCCCTTGGGCAGCAATAACTGCAACTTAACATTTCTGATAACTGTTAATCAGTTCTGTACATCGGCTTGGAGGAATTTTAACCCATTCCTCCTTGTAGAACAGCTTCAATTCAGGGATGTTGGTGGGTTTCCTTGCATGAATTGCCCACTTCATGTCCTTCTGCAACATTTCTGTAAGATTAAGGTCAGGACTTCAACTTGGCAATTCCAAAACATTAACTTGCTTCTGATTTAACCATTGTTTGGCCATAGAACTTGTGTGTTTTGGATCATTGTCTTGCTGTATGATCCATTTTCTCCTGAACTTCAGTTCACAGATAAATATCCTGACATTTTCCTGTAGGTCTAATTCAGGTCTAATTCAGAATTCATAGTTCCATCAATGATGGCAAGCTGTCCTGGTCCAGAGGCACCAAAGCAGGTCCAAATCACAATACTGCCACCACCTATTTTACAGATGGCATAAGGTTCTTACGCTGGAATGCAGTGTTTAACTTTCACCAAACGCTTTTCCTTCAAGCCAAAGAGTTCTATTTTGGTCTCATCTGTCCACAGAAAATTCTTCCAACAGCCTTCTGGCTTATCCATTAGGTTTTTCATAAATTGCAGATGGGCAGCAATGTTCTCTTTGGATAGTAGTAGCTTTCTCCTTCCAATCCTGCCATGTTCACCATTATTGTTCAGCATTCTCCTGATGGTGGCCTCATGAACACTGACATTTGCCAATGCAAGAGAGGCCTTTAGTTCCTTAGACGTTACTCTGGGGTTCCTCTCAGGAGTGTTACATGTCTTGCTCTTGGTGTGATCTTGCTTGGTTGACCACTCTTGAGGAGGGCAACACTGATGTTGAATGGCCTCCACTTGTATACAGTCTGACTGACATTGGACTAATGGAGTCCAAAGTCTCTGGAAATAGTTTTGTAACTTTTTCCAGCCTAGTGAGTATCAACAGCTGTTTTGGGATGTCCTCAGAAATCTCCTTTGTTCAAGCCATGGCACACTTCCACATACCTATCAAGATCAGACTTTCATAGTGAATACCCAGAATTCTGTTCTTTAAATAAGGCAGGACCTCTCACACTCACACCTGATTATCATCCCATTGATTGAAACACTTGATTCTAATTTCCCCTTCAAATGAACTGATAATCCTAGAGGTTCACATACTTTTGCCACACACA